ACGCAAACAGCAAAAGCGACAGCTGTGCAGAGAACCCGATGGCATACGTCAGGGACACGCCAATGAGCGCCGGGTCGATCGAGGACGTCGTTCCCAGCAGACAGAGCGTAAGCGTGAGCGTGGCCGACATGACTCCCAGACGGAGCGACACCCACACCGATGCCATCATGCGCAAGAACGTAGGAACGTTGCTGACATTCATGAGCCGCTGCTGTTTCTCGACAAACGCCGTTTCGACGCCAAAGGCTTTGACGGTAGCAATCCCAGCCAGCGTTTCCGAGACGTGGGCGTAGAGCGGCGACCGGTTGGTGCTTTCGAAGCGCTTGAATTCAATGTTGCTTCTTTGGTAGTACTTTAGAATGAAAAAGTAGAGAATCATCAGCGGAACGGCCAGAATCAGCATTCGCTGGTCAACGTAGCAGAGAAACGCCAGCGACGACATGGCGCCAGAGAGCGAGATGGTAGAGAGAAACATCAGGATCCACAGATTCTGGTCAATGGACTCTACGTCTTTGGACATTCGGTTCAGGATGCGGCCAATCGGCTGCGAGTCGAAAAAGCCCATTGGCGCGTGCATCAGCTTTTGCAGCGCATACGGATGGTAGTATGCAGCAGCCCGGTAGCATCCCGTCAGAAACACCGTGTTGATGGTCAGGGCAAAGCAAAACTGGATAATGCCGAGGATACCGTACCAGCGCATGTAGATGCCCAGCGCAGTGTCGGGGCTGAAGCCCAGCTTGTTGCTCGTCCACCACGACAGCCACAGATTCGTCATCACCTGCGTCCCGGCATTCAGCGAGGCGGCAACCACGACGATGGCTAGGAACACGTAGCCGCCGCACTTGTCAAAGTAGTGCCAGTACACCTTGGTGGTTACAGAGCCCTTTTGCTTTTCCTCGTCGACAATGATACCTCCCTTGGCTGTTTTGTCGTCGTCAGCTTCTTTGGCCTCGTCCGTTGGTTTTTCCTTGTCCTTGTCGTCGTCCAGACGGTATTCTTTCATGAGGTTGGCCAGAATGGCGCCGCGGGCAATCAGCTCCTTGTACGTGCCTTGTTCGGCCAGCGTCCCCTTGTCCAGGACAATGATATGGTCCATTTCGGGCAAAAAGTGCAGCTGGTGCGTCACCAGAACCACCGTTTTTTCAGCGAGGAAATCTTTGATGGCATTCTCAAACACCGATCGCCCCACCTGCGCATCCAGCGCCGAAATAGGGTCGTCCAGCAGAATAATGTCGGGATCAAAGTAGAGGGCCCGCGCTAGCGCAACCCGAGCCTTTTGCCCGCCCGAGAGATTGACTCCCTTTTCGCCAATCTCGGTCATGATCCCCGCCGGAAACTGCTCCAGATCCACATCCAGTCCGCAGACACGGAGAACACGGGCCAGTCTCTCGGGGTCTTCCTTTTGCTCGCCAAAAACAATGTTGCCCTTGATGGTCTCTGTCAGAATCCAGGGTTGCTGGGCACAGTACCCCAGCGAGCCGCTGATGGCAAAGCTGCCGCCGGTCTTTGGCATTTCATTGATCAGGCCGGAAAGCAGCGACGACTTGCCCGACCCCACCGCGCCAACGATGGCAACCTTTTGTCCGCGCTTGATGGAAAGGTTGATGTTGGCGATCGAAAACGCATCTTCCGGCTTGCGCTCCTCGGTTGCTGCCTCGGGATCCTTGGCTGGCGGCTTTTGCCAAGGAAACACTCGCTTGGGCTTTGGCTTGTCGCTTTTGGCAGGCTGGTCGCCGTCTTGCTTCAGAACCTGCTCCCACTTGAACGACAGGTCAGAGGCTCGGATGGCAATCTCTGCGCCAGGCTCCGACTCGACAAACGTGTCTTGCTTGGCTGCCGCAGATTGGTCGGCACCGTTGGCTAGAGCTGAGCTGCTGATGCCCAGCTTTTCCAGCGCCAGTCCGTCGCTCTCGTCCGCCATCAGCAAGGCGACAATGCGCTTCCACGACACCACGGCCACAATCATGGCCGTGAGAGATTGAGGGATGGTCAGGATCGGCTGAAAGAGCTGGTTAAACAGAGAGAGCGCCGGAAAAATGATGGCAGGCGTGAGCTTCCCGTTGATCGAGCCGTACACCAGAAATGCCACAATCGGCATCGAGATTGGCGCAATCTGGATCAGTCCAACAAAGTAGGCCTGGACGGAATAGTACTTTTTCAGGATGGACAGCTGCTCCAGCCGGATGCTGTTGATGCGGTCGATAAAAAAGCGCTCGAGAGCACGGAACTTGATGATTTTCATGCCGTACAGCACTTCGCGGATCAGCTTGAGACGGCGGTCGCCGCCTTGCAGAAAGCTCTTTTGGTAGCTGGCCAGGAAGCCAATGACGGCTAGCTGGAGGAACAGAATCGCAAACAGCGTGCCGGCACCGCCCTATTGTCAGCCAGCGTCCAGCACGTACCCAGACGGCATAGCCAATGAGATTGCCCAGCAGAATAACCGACACAACCACCTGGACGGGAGCCGTGAGCAGCATGGCCAGCTGCAGGAACGCGAGCGACACCTTTTCCACATCCACATTGATCACGTTCAAGATCTGGCCCTGCGTGAATTCTCGGGAAGAGGCTTGCGACAGCCGCAGCGACTTTTCATAGACGGCACCAATCAGCAGTGTTTTGAAGTCGACCTGCAGTCCGGCGCCGAGCTGCTGCGAAGTCACCTGGAACAGCGATGTCCCTGTCGTCAGCGCTGTCGGTCCTACCAATTTGCAGGGCAAAGAGCACAAACGAAAGTCCGACCCCCGACCTGAACCACACCTGGGACATGGGGTCGTACACCACGGTGGGTCCCTTGCCTGGAATCTCGGCGATGGTGGCCGGAGTCAGGAAATTGATCAGTTGCTGCAGAAACGTCGGCAGCGACAGCGAACACGCCACCGAGAGTCCCTGCAGAAAGACCAGGAGAAAGATCAGGCCGCCAAAGCGCCTGAAAATGACGCCAGCCAGCGAAGGCGCTGAGTGTTTAGCAGGCTCTTTTTTCCAGAGCCGATACTGGCTCCAGAAGGGGTCCAGATAGTGCACGACCTACTGCGTTGGCGGCCAGTGTCTTACATGCTCGCTCCGATACACGTCGGGCAGGTCGTACAAATCCTGCGGGTCAGTGTATCTGGCCAAACCTCCTGCTGCAGAGGCTTCCTGGCCCCCAGCAAAAGCAAATCAGTAATCCAGCCGACCGTGAGAAAGTTGAACGGCGTCACTCTGACTTGTCTGCGCATTCTCACTGCACTCGGATATTCTTGCGCAACAGGCTCAGCACTTTCTTTGCTCATGCTTCAACCGCTTGGCAATGCGCTTTATTTTAATGGAGAAAACGCCGGCACTCGATCCAAGTTTCGGAATTACCGACGTACGGAAAAACCATGAGTCGACACCGCTTGCCACGAAGCATCCGTTACTTGGTCGGAACCGATTGCACTGTCCGAATCACGGCCGGAGCGGCAACCAAAACGGGCTACTGGATGCCTTGGATGGTCTTGGTAATAACGGCGCCAGCCACTAAATAGCCAATTGTAAAGACATTGGTGACCTACGGTTAGACGGCCAGCGGCACCTTGTATCCGAGACAGTGGACATGCGCACTCGCTCCCACGCCCTGAAAATAGTCCAGCAGCCACCCCGCCAAGGGAGTGCTGACAATTTGGGGGAGAATCAGGGCCGTGTGCCAGAGTGACATGTCACGTGCAGCGTCCTGCTGCTTGGGCAGCACATCCATCAGCATGGCAAACTCGCAGGTCATGAAGGGGCCGTAGCCCATGCCAAAGAAGGAGCTCACCAAGAGGGCGTATTCGAATTCGGTGCAGACCATCATCATCACGCAAGCAACCGTCATCAGAACGGCCGACACGTACACCGTGCGCTTTCTGTTCGTTTTGGGAACCAGCAGCGCACACAGCGGAGCCAGCACAAGGTTTGGTATCATGGCAACCGAGACTGCGGTGGTTGCCTCCATCGACGTCGCCACGCAATCACTGATCCAGTACTGCAGAAAGCTCTGGATGGTGGCAATCCCCAGCTGGAACAGGAAGCGAGACACAAACACCAGCATAAAGCTTTTGTGCGTCCAGAGCGGCCGCAGGATGTCCCATGCCAGGTCGCGCCACTGGATTGGAGTTGCGTCGTGGCTGGAGGGAGCTTCCTCCACATAGACACAGGTCACGAGGGTGCAAATAATAAATACGCTGCTCATCAGGAAATAGAGGGTATACAGGGGGATGTCGGCGGCCCCGATGCCCACCAGTGCTCCGACCAAATAGCCCAGCAGATTCAGCGCACCCATGATGGACGATACGTGGCCATTCTGCTCCAGTGGGGTGACATCTGTGATTAGCCGAGCCAGCACCCACCGGCCACCAGTCCGTTGAACGGGATCGAGCACACCACCGACGAGAAATTCAAAAACAAATAGGCAATCGTGTAGCCGGCCAGAGAATCCGTCGGCGTCAGGAAAAACAGCGAGAGGCACATTCCCAGACATCCCACCAGGATCCATGGTCTCCGCTTTCCCCAGCCCGCCAGCCCGCTTGGCAGCGCGACTTTGTTGCCGTCGTTCAAGGCTCCAGCCACTGGCGAAAAGAATAGAAACAGCAGTCCCGAAAAGATGGAAATCACTGCCATGCCACTAATCCGCGTCAGCTCGCTCCGGCCAACCTGCCCTTGGTTTCGTTTCCCATGATGGCTTCGATTTGCGACGGCAGCGTAACAATCGTGATGATGAACCAAAAGAATTGGTACCCAAACCTGGTCGTTATCGAGCCAGGTCGTACCAAAAGCAGTTGAGCAGCACGACCTGGCGGGTCGAGAGAAGAACCTTGCTCTTTTCGCTCATAGTTGCTGCCGCAGCTGTGTCGATTAGCGGAATGAGGTCGCCATCTGCCGCGTCCATCGTAATTCTCTTGCTCCAACTCGTTGCACCCAGCGCGAGTGCGTCGGCTCCACCCCAAAAAACAACGCCCTTACGAACAAACAGCATTGCAAAAACGCAAGACCGCAGCAAACAAAAAAGATTCCGGTGGGGATCGAACCCACGATCTCCAGGTTCGAAGCCTGACGCGTTACCAGCTACGCCACGGAACGTTGTAAACCACTCAATTCATTGAACCAAATGCAAACAAACAACCAATAAAACAATCAAATATGTGTCCAAGGAAAACTGCAGTGCCACAATGTTAGAACCAAATAACTAGCCACAATACTGGTTAACAGAACTACTACTTCTTTCCCTTTCGCCATTTTCGAGCCTTGGCAAGATTCGCTCGTAAAGTCACCAGATGTCTACCTTATCGAATGAACCACTATCCAAGAGCACTATTTTTCAAGTGTGTAAGCTGCAACTGCCAAGTCTTGCTTTGGACAGGACGACAATCTGGAAACTGTGCCGCTCTCTGCATAAATGTATACATTATAGAATCAAGCAATATCAGTACCAAGATCTGATACCTGTAAGTAGTAACAGTGATAGCAACAGATATCCGAATTAGTCAACTGCCATCTGACACTAGTTCTTGGCCACAATCAGAATATTGTAAAGCAGTCAAGGTACATGCTCCAGGACAGCCACTCTGTTTCCTGACATGACAGGATGGTGCATACAATGGCCAGATGAGTCATGAAGACTTGACCGAATGAATTCCAACTCGATACAAAACAATGACGTTGAACTACAGGAAATCAAAGATAGAATAGAAGAGTTGGAAGAACAAATTAAAGCCACAAGGACGGAAATGGCACAGATTCAGTCGGTGTCGCAGGTTGACTTGGAAATGCTTGACTCGACTCGTTCAGTCAATGCCACAATCAGACAAGGAAATACTCCATTTTACAATTCACATGACCAACATTTGCAGCATTTGAATAGTGAACTCTCGGCTTTGCATTTCTCAGAATCCGAACTGTACAGTCAAATGTATGCCAGAACGCAAACGCTACATCAAGCATTGATGCTGACATTTCCACGATTCCATCCAGAGCACACACTTGCAGGACCGGAGACTACAGACCTTGGATGTACACCAACTGCTCAGATCGATCTGCAGACATGGGACTCGTTTGATCAGGGAGTCTTAGACTGGATTGCTAATACTCCCGACTGTCAATTACTAGAGCCGTTAAACTTTTATCTAGCATTGCTAGTACGTACAGATTTGGCAGTTACATATAGAAACGTATCACTATTTCATACTCTGAATAGCTTCTTCTATTTACAAGACACTCAGTTCAGCCGTCTAACTAAAGGTACTCTAACGGACTGCCTTAATAGAACCGTGTTGGGAAATCCAGACAAAATCTGGCTGGCAAATGGCTTTGATATTCCCAAGATGACAATCGTAGACACGACTTTCAATGACTTTCGATTTCAGGAACGTAGCATCATTTCGGCTTATCAAAACGGTTGGAGCCAATCCCGCAACAGCGCTTTCGCAACAAAGGACGACGTCGTGCTTGCTGTAGAGCGAATCCACATGTACATGACTCTCAATGGCCATCGCTATGGCTGCATTTACGCTTGCGACCGCACCTGGTTCTTGAAAATGGCAGACGACCCTCTCCATCCAAGATTGCTGATCACTCCTGCCATTCCGTGCGACTCGAACCAGCCGTACTCTGTCGTTTCGGCGTGGCTCTACATGATTACCACGATCGAAAAGAGTGCGGACTGGATGTGTGCTTCGCCATGCCGCGGGCTGATTGTAAATCCAGTTATTTCGTCGCAGCCCTACGACGCGAGAATCGACAGGTACACGCCAATCAAGCTGGACGGCTTGATGTATTGGAAAAACATTATCTCGCACACTCGACGGGGCCAAGTGGCGACAGGAACGTTTTTGACCTTGGTCAATGTCGTTTTCAAAACCATTGACACGTCTAGATTCAGAGACGGCCACGAACAATTCAACAAAGAGGTGGAGATCTACAAAAAAATGGAGGCGCTTCAAGGTGTAGTCATTCCTCGTTTCGTTGCGTGCGGAACCCTGGGCGGGATGTTGCAGGTGATTGTACTGGAACATGTGGGCAGGAATATCAATCGGTCGGAATTTTTGGAAAACGAAGTGGCTGTTGAAGCGGCCGTACAGACAATGAATGAAAACGGATTTCAACACAACGACCTTATGGTGTCAAAAATAATGATAACCAGCCTCGGACAGATTCGTATCGTTGGCATAGGAAAAACAACCGAACCTGGAGGTATTATTCGTGAAAAAGTCAACTATCTCAAACATTGTGCAGTGACCAGGCAAAAGCTCGCCCATGAAGAAATGAGATTTGTCAACACTCTAGATTGATTATTGTTAACCTGGTTTTGTGATATAAACCTACCAGTTTTTGAACCATTTGGAATGCAATAGTAGTGAATACACAAATTCAACTAATTCTACTCAATAGTTGGGCAACCACACTCTTGCGACTGATACCAATGCGGCATCCTATTGACACGGACATTGCTGCAATGAATCATTACAGTTTGCTTCAACACTGGCTGCTGCTTCTGACTGTCAGATTGCATAGATTCTGCAGTTCTTGACTGGTTGGCACTCCAGTCCAAACAAGTGCAAATGGGACTGGACAAATGAAACCAATGATTTCTTGCAACTTTATTGATGGGGCAACGAGTGGTGCCAAAATTTGTGAAAGTGAAGCGGCATTCACTCTCGGTTTATGTGAGTTG